TTAATTGACTAATAAGATATTATAAGCGAACCCGGTCGTAAGTAGCGGTCTAGGGGATAGAGCGAATATATTTGAGAAAAAGCAATATCTCCTTTATTTTCAACTCAATTTCGTACATTTTAATATTATTTTAAATATACTAGCTTCACTCAAATATATATTAGCTTCAATATTTCAATACCCTTGTTATTTTATTATTATTAGAGATTTCACTAAATAAAAATAAAATCGATTCGAACGAGTCCTAATAAGTAATATAAAACGCATCTAAATACGTTCTTACTTTAAGTCTTTAAACAAATCAAATTATAATAACGTAACGTATGGGGAACTCGGACATATGGGGAACTCGGACACTTTTAGCCCATCACCAACTTGAAACCGCAATAACTTTTATTATGCATACCCAATCACCTTCTACATCTGCTCAAATTGAAGAGAAGCTTCAAAAGGCTATAATTTCACTTCAATTGAAAGAATTTAAATCGATTAGAAAGGCTGCAGAGCATTTTGAAGTCCCTAAGTCTACCCTAGCTGATAGGCTGGCTGGGAAGAAAACACGTTCTCAAACCCACGAAATGGCTCAAATTCTTTCAAACGCAGAAGAAAATACTCTTGTACGATGGATTTCACAACTTACCATCACTGGATTCCCTGCTACACCTATGTTGGTGAAGGAAATGGCCGACGAAATTCGTCTTCGACGCGTTCGGGTCGCGTCATCTCGAAATCCTACCTCGACAGAAATTCCACCTATAGGCCACGAATGGATCTATAGATTCCAAAAACGACATCCAGAACTTAAAACATGCTATTCACGTCAATTAGAGTCTAATCGGGCTAAAGAAGCAACTCTGGAGAATATTCAGGCTTGGTTTGACGCGTTTCGCACGCGTCTTATTGAGCGAAAGTATGAATTAGATGATATGTATAATATGGATGAAACCGGATTTGGAGTTGGAAGTACTCAAAGTACGCGCATTATAGTCGATTCTACTCAGAAATCGAATTGGAAAGTTACAGCTGGCAAGCAAGAATGGATAACTGCATTTGAATGTGTCAATGCAGCTGGAAATGCTCTATCACCTATGGTCATTTTCAAGGCTCAGAATACGAATTCTGCATGGATTCCAAAGGACACACCTCAAAGCTGGCAGTTCTCTACTAGTACAAATGGATGGACCTCAAATAGCCATGGATTAGAATGGTGAAAAAGGGTTTTCGAACCAGAATCCAAGAAAGTGTCAGGTGACCGACCTCGACTTTTGATCATGGATGGCCATTCAAGCCATATTACAGGTAGCTTTATTGCTTTCTGTATAGATAATGATATTGATTTACTTATATTACCTCCTCATTGCTCTCACTTGCTTCAGCCACTTGATATTGCGGTGTATGGGCCAATGAAACGATATCATGCTTTAGAGGTCGATCGATATTCTCGAGCTGGTGTAAAGCGAATCCAAAGAGCTGAATGGGTAGAACTCTTTCAAAATATTAGAAAAAAAGCATTGAATTCTTCTAATATTAAAGCTGGCTGGAGAGGAGCTGGTTTAGTACCTTTTGCCCCACGAAAAGTACTCGATTCATTACCATTTAACTCCTCCCAGCAACCTTCTACTCCACAAATGAGAACCCCCAATCAAGACCTAGACTTGTCTATACTCAGGAGTTCTCCTCCAGATGGAACAGAACTAAGGCAAGCAAATCAGATCTTTAATACAGCTCTAGCAAGCAGTGGTTCTCCTGCATCGCCAACTCGTCGATATGCCAAGAGAATGACTAGGCTTGTAGAATCTCAAAATGCTGAGATAGCCCTACTTCGGAAACAGCTCTCTGATGCTCAGGAGGTAATTGAGACTCGAAAGAAAAGAACTAAAGGCAAAAGAGTCAAATTACAAGGTCAATTTGTCTTTAGTACTAAGGAAGTATTGAAAATGGTACGTGAGGCGGAGGAAAAACCGAAGGAGAAAAAGCCACGAGGACGGCCACGCAAACGCCCAATTGAAGAATCAGAAGAAGAGATTGAAGAAGAAGAGCTAGAGAATAGTTCAAGTGATTCGGAATTGGAATTGGAGGATTGTGTGGCTCGTAGAACAAGATCGCGTGTAGAATAATTGAAAAAGTGTCCGAGTTCCCCATATGTCCGAGTTCCCCATACGTTACGTTACTAATTGAAAATTTATATAATAAACTTTAAATAATAGAAATATTATAAAAGTCACATTTTACTTACATTTTATTCAAAATCACTAATTTTTCATTATATTCTAATTCTAAATCCTATTTAAAGCTTATTTAAAACCTAAAAAAACTCTAAATACTATAAATTTATTAAAATTAATAAAAAGTAAATAAAAACTTTAAATATCGAATTTTGAGGAAAAAGAATAGCTCATTATCTATTCAATTCACTTAAAACAAGAATAAATTCTATAAAAACAATAAGATTTTACTAAAAACAGGATTAACATTACTTACTCATATAACCTCTGTAAGTCACCGAATATCCTAGTCAACATGATTTCACCCCCAGCAGGGAACAAATAACGCCAGATTTGTCACAAGGGAATCACGCGGGGTAGCGGGATGTGCCATAACCTCTGCGATACCATATCAACATCACCTCATCAGTCTTTTTTGAAGGTTCTCGACTTGTTAAGCTTACTACTTGGTCAAACCCTCTGCTTGATGTAGATCAGACCCTAACAACATATGTGACAAGTCCCGTTGAAAAAATCTATGTGTATTTTGTATTTAGGATGCCAAAGGATTCTGACAATGGATTGATGAAACAACAAAGTGCCGAATTTCGTCGAGAAAATGTCGAGCCCGGCAATTTGCAAAGGCGCAGCGGCCAAGAAGGAATGTTACATTGACTTGACAAAAGCAAAAATAACTCCAGACCAGAATTAATCTCCAAAGCTTCATTTCTAGATGTTTGATGTCTGTATTCAATTCGAGGAATCATGTTTACTACAGCCACCCTATCATCCCGAGAAGGATTCTGCGAGGGTTTCGGGGGAACCGGAGGAAGGAGGAAAAGGAATCGCGTTTTGGGTGTACGGTTTTAAGATCATTAAGGTTACTCGTCTTGATCTTACTGAATTGAGAAATTTTGGTCAATGATCCTCAGCGTTCAGATTGGAACATTCTTATCATATATTGGGCTGACTAGGTATCACACGCAACGTGATCTAAATTCACCGAATGAGTAACGACGACAGGGGCGAATCATTAGGAAGCGGGGTCAAAAATTGCTATTCCGCTCTAATTCTTATCACTTATCATGATCCAAATATAGCCAGGCATAAATGTACCTGAGGATCAAGGGAAGGTTGAAATGGTACGTTATTCCCAAGGACAATATTCGACCGAAAATCCATATGATTAGTTGACTATCTTTGGGTATTCTAAAGATCATTGATTCATTTGGACCCATCCATATTTCAACGACACACAACCATAAACTCACGATGCCATCGAGAAGATCGCATATCAAATCGCATCACGGTTGTACTCAATGCAAACTCCGGAGAGTCAAGGTAAATTTTTCTCACATGTTGCATCTTGGAGGGCTGTGGGTTTTCTCAGAGCTCATAGCTTGGTTGAGGGGGATCATGCTAATCACAAAATTAGTGTGATGAGCGTCAGCCTGCTTGTTCTAGATGTATAGCATACAAAAGAGAATGCACATATAATTCATTGATCACTCAAGCACCTGGTCAACATAGTTTCGAACTTCGACCACCGCCGAAATCAAAGACCCAAAAGTACAAAACAGTTTTCATCAGACCCTCATCTCATTGTGGACCACCTCAGGGTCAAGATCCAAGTTATGGCATTCAAGCACCAGTTCCATTTGGCCGATACAAAGAAGCAGATTCCCTTCTCTATCACTGTATCAATTTTACTGCTAAGCCCGCGACATCAGCATTCATTAGTCCGGATCATAATAAATGGGAAGGAGCTGTGCAACGCAGCGCTTCAACTCATGAATACGTGTACAACGGAATGCTTTCCTTCGCCTCTTTACATCTGGCTGTTCTTCAACCTCAGAATCGTTCAATTCACATAGCCAGAGCGCTGAAATTTCAGAACACGGGGATGACAGGATTTAGACCAGTACTGGAAAATGTCACAGCATCGAATTGTGAAGCTGCTTTGGGATTTTCGGGATTATTGATAAGTTCCATATATGCAATTCCAGTAGCGCAAGCCGGACCGCATAAGCCTAGCGAAAGATTATTGGATTATTTACCTATAATATTTAGTTTGTTCAATGGAACCGTGGCTATATACCGAATGGGGTGGATGAAAAGCTTGAATTCTCCACTCAGTGTGCATCTTCGGAACAAGGTAGTGGCAGCTGACGCAACAAACACTCCTGCGGAGGGTGAAGAGTACCTCAAGCAATTAGAGCGTCAAGAGATTGCAAGTTTAAGCGATCAACCTCTTCGAGAGCTGTGTCGCGACGTATCTCAAAAAGTTCGACGAAATTTAAGAAGAACGGAACAGTTTCCTGGAAGAGCATGGCCTGGGGCGGCACCACCAGCCTACATTGAATGCATGAAAGAAAGGGAACCTATTGCGTTGATATTGGTAGCTTACTGGGCAGTAGGACAAGGTAGAGGGGTAGGGCATAACTGGTGGGCGAAGAATTGGGGAAGAGATTTGGTGGAGGTAATCGGAGAGGAGCTGGGAGAAGATGCGAGATGGGAGTGGTATATGAAGTGGCCAAAGAAGAAAATGGGACTAAATTAATGTGGAGTCTAGCAGAGAAAGGGGATTTTCCTTGTGTTCATTGATAAAAGTATTACTACAAAGACTCCCGGTAGATTTGATTACACTTGACACTTCAGCAGAAGTTCCGATTATAGAAATGATTTGCATGCCATAGAATGTGATCTTAGATATTTTCTATGGCAAGAGATGAGGGAGTATTTATAGCTCAATTGATGGCTATTTGCTGTCGACTATTGAATTTGTTCAAAATCGAATCAAAATCCATTTTCTGGAGCGTTCCGTGCATAACTATCCCATGAAAACCAGTCAAAATTCCCATCTAAAGATTGTTCTGTAGATAAAAAGTCTAATTGATGAAGTAATGGATCCGCTACCGCTCGGCCTTGCTCAATAAATGAATTGATATCACGTAAAGAATTGTTTTCCGTCATCTCAGTATTGAACACAGATGTGTCCATTGGATAGGATAGAAAGCTGAGTAAAGTGGGATCTGTAAGATCGCCAGACAGATCTCTGAGATCCATTCCTGTTGAGACAGGAATATTGTTGGATATGTGTGCATTCTGTGCATGATTTCCGGGAGAATATAATCCTGTTTGGCGTGGACTCTGTGGCGCTGTCCAGCCTGTAATATGAGAAGTCGATTCTGAACTCCTGCTTGGCAGTTCTACATTTACTTCCGGTGACTTATCTTCCATAGCTTTACGACTCATGCTTCCTCTAACAAAACTCTCCGCAAGCCTAGTAAAGGTTTCCGCAATTTTTTCAAGCTTCTGAGCACTACGGTGCTGGACATGCATCCTCAAAAAATAATACACTACCTTTCTGAGTGATTGAAGGTCGTCAAAACAAGACGAGGAATGCGGATCGGCTATTATATTGGAGAAAAGAACAAAGTAAGGCATGAATGGGTAGTAGAGAAGTTGCCTACAAGCATGTTAAAAAGGTGAATGAAGAAAGACATTAAGAGACAGAAACGAGTAGATAGCTACGTACCATACAATGCCATTGAAAACTTCCAAGGAGCTAGAGACGAGTTTGTCCAACATCTCTACAGCAATTCGTGCGTGAAAAAGACAAAGTTCGTGATTATATTTGGAGCTCCGAGTCAAGTAGACAACCGAATGGTGGTATTGGAATGTGAGAAAATTTATGCCCATTTGGACTGACTGAACTTCACTTTCTTCTCCTTGAAAGTTACTGTATGCTGACATTCTCTGTTTGTTATACGTTAGCTGGGTACATCATATATTTTGATAAGTCAGTGTATGAAAGGTCTCCAATATTCTTAACTGCAGTCCTATCTAGAATTTCAAATTCGAGATTTTGAGTGTTTCAGAGACTTTACTTATTGGAGTACAGTCTGAGTTATTGGCCACCCTGACTTTGTCAACACTTGCTATGAAATAAGATGATAATAGATAAAACAAAACGAACATCATCCAGATTGATCTTCCAAATTTCAAGTCTCTCTTTCATTGATGAAATTTGTTCTGTCCCAAACTCTCCATTATGAACCACGAGAGCGATGTCTATAATCTTTCCCTGTAATACAAAAAGTTCTCGTGCTAGACCAAAGTACAATGCGCCGAAACCATCACTAAGTTGATGACCAGGGGTTCCAATGGCTGCGGACGATGGTCTATGAGGTCTGAATGTCGCGAGAAATGAGAGATCTGGAGGATCAACCCCCTCATATAGTTGACTCAATAGAAATGGGGGCCTCCCATAAGCCAACGACAATGATTTATCAATCATGAACAAATTCCAAAATAGGCAATTTCGGTGGGCGTTCTCTTTACTCTGCTTTGGGTATCTTGGGGAAGGAATGTGAAGATTGAGACTTTGTGCCATTCGACAAGCATGACTTATTAATGTCCAACATAAACCCGGAGGAACAACATCCTGACTATGACAGGATACCATTAATATCGCTTGTATAGCAATTTCTGATGGCTCGAGGAAGAACGAGGAATCTTGAAGGATTATCCACACATTCCATTGAAGACCCCGATTGATTCTAGTGTTTGATGGTTCCATGAAAGCGATTGTGGCAGATAAAAATGCATTGTAAAGCAAAAGCCAGGCTCTCTCGGATACTCTCTTCGGCTCAAATGCAAGCTTCGGAATTATGTCAAGTGGGGGCATGGTAAAAAACGGTTTACCTCGTTCAATTCCTGCAATAAAGACTTCAAGTTCGAATTAGTAAAAACATCTGTAGGGAAGGGTGTTGAGTGATCTGGATTAGCAGATTAAATACAAGTTCTCTCTAGGAGTGCAAAGCTTGAGATCATCTTACTCTGTATCATACGATCCCCTTCAGCCTTATCTGGAATGAAGAAAACTTCCCTCTGCCTTCTAAAATGTTTGACATTCGAATAAATGTCAGGATCGTCAAAACTTCCTTCAGAAAATATTGTGGTGAGGTATGATAATCCATTCTCAGCATCTCGTTGTAAACCCGGCTCCAGATGGCTCGACTTCATTTCAGCTATCGTAATACTACTCTTTGCTTGACTCAAGATTGAAGGAGCAGAAGAATCACCGTTGATATGCTCATTTTTCTCCCCATTACAGGCTGGTGATTTGACAGAACGATGTGATTCTATGATATCTTTTTCACACTCATAGCTCGGTAAGTCCAAGTCCGTGGATTCGTGATTAGTAATAGAGGTCGGCAAAGTATGAGCGATAGACTCGACAAAATGTGAGCTATCAAGATTCCGATCTGTGTGATTTCTGATGTTATTTTGCAGAACGCTTTTTACTTATCAGATCTCTTCCATAGTGGCTCGTTAACATTAGACTTACTTCGTCCTAGTTCGTCTAGGTATTCTTCCACGGCGAGAGTAAGTACATGGACCAGACCAACCCTGGCAATTCACACATTTCGGTTTCTCTCGAGAGCATTTAAGCTATCAACGTTCAGATTCTGATGTGATAAGAATGAGGAATAATTGATTGGACTAACCTTTCTACGTTTACAATGGTCGCACTATTACAATCGGAATTTGATAAGTATATGAATTGCAAGGGGGAATTTCAAACTCACAGCGTACTGTTCAAGCTCCGTCTGCTTTCCAACCGGCATTTTGGGTCCATGTGAATCCCTCAGAGTTGCGTCGGGGGAAGAATTGGTTGGGGTCGCCATGACTTGTTGATGAAGAAAATGATTTACTTGAATACGGATTTTAACGGATTGACAGAAAAAATCAATAGATAATTTTAGGATACATGGAAGATATTGCGGTATGTCCTAAGTTGGATAGAACATATTGCTGAACGGATGTTAAACAGTAAATGGAGCTGGCACGGAACTTAAATGGAGGTTATGAATTTTGCTTACAAAGGGGTCAGTGCTTGTTGGAGCTGAGAGCTGAGAATGTACAGAAACACGTCGGCCGCTCGGCCGGTATTTACGAAGGTTGGATGGGTAAGTAATGTCAACCCCACTTTTAGTAAAATCTTGCTGTTTTTATAGGATTTATTACTGCTTTAAGCGAATTGAATAAATAATGAGCTGTTCCCCCCTAAAATTCGATATTTGAAGCTTTTACTTGCTTTTTATCAACTTCAATGAATTTACAGTATTTGAGGTATTTGAAGCTTTTTATAGGTTCTAAATAAGCTCTATACAGGATTTCGAATTAGAATGTAATGAAAAATTAGTGATTTTGAATAAAATGTAAATAAAACATGACTTTTACAATACTTCCACCACCTAAAGTTTACTATATAAATTTTCAACCAGCGATATGACTTGATTCGTTCAAAGGCCTAAAGTAGGAACGTATTTAGGTGCGTTTTATATTACTTACTCATTCAATCTTCGTAGTTCATTGAACGAAGTTTATTACATGTTAAATCATTAAAAATGAATAATTTTTAAAACAAACTCTTATATATATTATATAGTGTTTGTAAACTGTTTTATAATATAAAAAAGCTTTAAATATATTTTAATTATATATTATAATGTTAATTATACTTTCTATAGTAATTCCTAAAAGTAAAGCTCTTACTATTAGTATATTCTACTTTTATAAATAAAGTCTTATTCTTCTAAAGCTTTTTAATCTATTAAACAGACTTAGTAAGGTATATATATATAATATATATGGTTAAAAGGGTTGTTTATTTCTGTCTACCCTCTTTATATAAAGAGGGAATTACTATATCTATATATATGTACTACCCTCATTTATATACTTTATATGTATATAGAATAAAACATAATATATAATATTATATTGTTGATTATATGTTCTCATATAGATTTAACTTTCTTTTTTATATAAATAGAATTTATATGAATCAGATTGATATTTAGAACTTATAATAGGCAACCATTTCATTGCTTAGTCTAATCCCTATTTCCTATAATAAATCAAATAAGTGTAATAAACTTTATCTTAAATTAATTAAACATTATACTAAAAAACCATTAAAATCATTAAAATCTAAATCATTCCATTATGTATATATTCTCCGGCCATATCGGACGATATATTTAGATTCAATATTATACTAATCCTTTTAAAACTGTAGAAAATTTAAATTTAATCGATCATCCGAAATATATATTAATTTCTATTAAAATATAAGTAATTTATACTATTAATTACCCCCCACTTACTATTAGTTTTATATTGTATATAATATATTAATATTTTTATATGAATAAAGTCTTTCAATTATATAATATAGCAAATGCGGTGACGAATCTAAATCAAAATCCTATTCTTCCTATTAACAGACAAATTCTTATATTATATTATTATAATAATCTTCAACTTATTCTTTTAATAATATTAAGTAATCCTATTTCATATATATATAATTGAATTATATTTATACAAATTTATATAATATAAATATTATATATAAATAGCTTATTGATATAAAATTATAGGATTTTTGTTAAAGATTTTTATAAGGAATATTATTATTATAATTTTATATTCTTTTTGAATTATTATTATATATAGAAATATTTCAATAATAATTATAAAAATTATAAATAAAAAGATTATAGAATTTAATATATATAATCTAATTATTCACATCCTTATATCATTAATAAATAATACCAACCTCCACTTCTTTCTCACACTTTTTCTAATCAAAGTTTTACTCTTCCTTCATTAATTGATTCAAAAACCCCCAATATTCACAAACATTCTCTTTTACTTAATTCTAATTTTATTAAAGAATTACTTATTATTAATTAATTTGTATATTCCTCTTATTATTATATAATCCTTAAGTTTTCTTTATATTTTTCTAATTTGAAATTGAATTGTTTATTAAAAACTTTTCAAAAAGGAAAAAAACTATAAAATAAAACAAAAAAACAAAATATTATTAACTTCATTCTTAATTACAAATTATATTTATATAAAGATTTAATTGATTTTTATATATATCTCTTATTTCACCTACTCTTCAATATATATAACAAAAGTATTTATATTAATAAATCTTTTCAATACTTTATTAGAATTTTCTTTTATTATTATATCAATAATATTATCAAGTCTATTAATCTATCAGACTTCAATAAGTTGTCTTCTTTCATATAATTACTATAATACTATTATATCAATTATAAATCTCTTCTCTTTTATTATACTCAATTTAATAAAACATTTATATAATAAATACAAATTTGTATAACAATAATTAAAATATTAAATAAATTTAATTAAAAGATAATAATTTGTAGGATTGATTTTATTACAAGATTAATATCTATACCTTCTATTATATTATATATTTCAAAAGTTAATACATTATATATAACTCTTTTGCTTTTTGTATTACTATAATGTATAATATTCTTAGTTAATTTGAAAATGTTTTCGTTTGATATATCCTTATTTATTAATATAATAATAAAATTTATTTGATTATTTAAATCTTTATTATTTATAAAAGATCTATTAATAAAAATAAATAATTTTATATAATCTTATATAAAAAGGATAAACGAAAGTCCTTGATTAAGGTTTTCTATTTATTATTCAAATCTTTTATTAAATATCTTGATATTATTATTTAATAAATTTTAATTTTATATAATAGTAAATAGATCATATAACACTTTTAATTAACAAATTGTTATAATATATATACCTTAAGCTTTTTATTTATAAAATTACTTAGAATTAATAACTTTTATAAGTTTCTTTTTCTAACCTTTTTGTATGAGAATTAAACAATTCTCATTCTATTATATAATATAATTATTAAAGATTAAAAGTGAGTTATATATTAAATATTTATTCGATTTTGCTTTAATATTTATACTCTTAAATTTTGAATTCTCGAAATCCATAAATTCTTAATCTATCAAAATAAGTATATCATTTATTTATATTTCTACAATTCTAAATTATATATTTTTCATATTAATAATAAGCAAACAAAAATTATATAAAAATATTACTATATTAAGTTTTTTTTAATAATATTTCTAATATATTATTCATTAATAAATCCCTACTTTTATAATACTATATAATAGTTTTTTAACTATTATAATAATATTATCTGAGTACTTATTCTAAAGTTCTTTTAAAAGTTTTACTAATATAGTTCAGTTCAATAATATTTTCAATTGTATATACACTTATATAACATCTTATACCATCAATTTAATATTCATTTCTATTAATATAAAAGCTAAAACTATAATAATTCTTTAACTTAATCTTTATATTATAAATATTTAAATTAGAATTAACTTTTTATCTAAATCATTATATATTTGTATAATTAAATATAACTTTTTATATAAAGAATTTATTATATATTCTTTTATTTTATTCATAAAATATAAATTGAACAATCTTCTAATATATACAAAGGAATTATACTTAACGAATTTAAATATATCTTTTATAATTAAACTATTAATTTCTTACATTTATAAAGCTTTAAATAATAAGTCTTTCATAATAATAACTCCTTTTGTACAAAGTTTTATTATAAGATTCAATACCTTTTACTCTTTTTTCATAATGAACACCTTTATTAGATTTTAATCGTCTTATATAACTATAAGGAGTTGATTATATTCATTATTAATATTAATTATATAAAATAATGAAATTCTAGAAATTTCTATTTTAAAAATTGAATATTAAATAAGAACTTGTATAAATGTTTATTTAATTATTTATATGGAACTTTATAATTTATAAATTTAAGGTATTGAATTTTTAGTATTTAAAAGTATTATTAAAAGTATTTTCGAAATGGGTAATAATTAGTTTTTTTTGAGTACTTTTTTTTTATAAAACGATTTTATTATTGTTATATGAAATTCTATTGGACTATAAGAAAGATCGATTGTACAATTTTGATCAATAATTATAAATAATCTATACAATCCTATCCAACTTTTTCTTTCTTTTCATACTTATATTAATAAATTGAAAAATAAATTGAAAATTTTATACATAATTAAACGATTTCGAATAGCAAGTATATCTTAAACTATTTATTTCGTATAAATTTTATACACTTCTTTTATTATAAAATAATATATATTCACTCATTTTAAAATTAATAAAAATAATAGATTATATAATATTATTCAAAAGTAAACTTTATATATAAGTAATGTTAGTATAAGTTTATTTAAGCTAACAATATTATTTACTATCTTCATTATCATTTGCAATATTAATTTTTTATTGAGATTATCGTTTTTCAATTCAATTTTCAATATATTATATATATATTATATAAAGGAATAATATCTTTTAATTTTTCCAATTATATTATAGACTTTAATAGGGACTTTTCGAATATGAATTTGAAAGGATTTTGTACTTTATTTGAATTCTTCGAATACGAAATTTGTATTTATATTATATAATATATAATCTAATAATCCTAGATATATATCGATTTAATATTTTCGAATAATATTCTATACTGTTTTGGTAAATATATCTTATATAAATACTATAGTGTTATATATAGTTGTTTTATTAATAATATATAAAATTGGATTTCTATTAATATAAAAGATATTAAAAATGATAAAGTAATTGAATTCGATATCATCTTTAATTATAAACTTAAACCATTTAGGGGATTTTATATAAAGTTGATAATACTTATAGAATTTGTTGAGTTTCT